AGCTGGCTTGACACCATGATGGGAAGGTCCTTCAGGAAGATAGGAAGAGACAGGCAGCGTGAGCAGCACAAGAAGTCTGCTTACATGGGGAAGGAGGTGGTTCGGGAGAGAATTTGGTTCATTTAGAAGCTGGTTTAGAGGCTAATAGAACCTGTGCAGGGGGACAGGAAGTACAGAGGGAGGGTTTGATGTGGAGATAAGAAAAGGATTGGGCGTAGGGTATTTCCTTCCTTTTACCAGCACGCTCACAGAAATTGTATAAGTCCCTTAAAATATTGGGATTGAAAGTGCCATTCAGTGGCCATTTGGAGACATTGTCTAATGGGTATTGGGGCCATGCCTGATTACAGAGAAAAATAAGTTTTCATGGCTTAAGATCAGGCATTAGGAGAGGGGCCCATTCTTGGCCAGGAGACATCCCAGTGGGGAGTCTGAAGGAATTTGGGATGGTCCAATCTCCATGGTGAGGCCTGAACTGAGGAGAGATATGGTGGGTGTCCCTGAAATATCAGTTCCTCAGGAGAGAATAGATGTGGGACACCCGGGGGGAATGTCTTCACCACAGGGACCCACAGTCCTAGGAAACCCGGTTCCCAGGGACGGGAGTGAGCCGAGACCTAGCGCTAGGATTTTGAGGAAAGAGAAAGAGATCACGGCTCTTTGTGCAAGAAGGACTCCGTGCATGTGTGATAGTCTCTGGTAGGGGTGGAGATTGTCTTAGAGCGGGAATTTCTGTTTAAGGGCTGTCCTTGGGAGTTTCTCAAGTGAGGTCTGAAGATAAAATGACAGCTGATTTACAAATGGCGACATTATTGTTCTATCAGACACGTGTGCTACAGTCCTTTGAGGGGCTCTTGAGGTCATGGGTGACTCATGTGAACTAAATGAACGAGTGGGAAGAGGGAGGGCATGGGTTCATAACCTCTGACTGAGTGGTGCCTTGGCCAGAAAAGGGGATGGGGTGGCCCAGTGTTGGCTCCTTCTGTGACCTGAACATGACCTGTTCACTCCTCTTGTCTGTGGCAGGATAATGGCCCATCTCGAAAGCAAGACTTAAAGGAAAAAACTGTTGATAGGGAATTTAGGCAGATGTAGAGTAGAGGCTTAGCATTAGGTGGAAAAAACCTAGGAGACTGGGACAGAGAAGCAGCTCCAATCATCAGCTACATGCCATTTAGCAACCAAATTGATTTTATGTTTTCAATCCTGGGACCTTGTGAGTCACTTTGGAGGCTGAGAGAACTGGCTGGAGCCACAAAATAACTGGAATAGGACCTCTTTCCCTTTCTCCTAGTTCATCTTTGCCTCTTACTCAGGTAGCCAGTCTAGGAGAGGAGATGGGCAGGCTATGGAGTAGGAGAGGTGAAAGAAAACTCCTCCATAGCTAAGAGACAGATTTAGAGAAAGTTCCAAAGCTAAATGGTTTTCATACCTTGTGAGAGTGAGCCCCTCCCTGGCTCGCCCACAACTTCTCAGTTTCCATGCAGAATCACAGGTCTAGAGATTCACATGTGAAAAGAATTTCAAGGTGCTCACAAAAAGGGAGTTTCACAAGGTGGAAGTTTTAGCAAGGATTTATTTTAGTTTAACAGGATAAAGTAGGGAAAAATTTAAAGAGGGGAAAAAAAGTACCTCTTGCTAGAGTGCGGGAGTGGGGGTGGAGACAAGCTGAAAAATGGTGGCCCTTTCAAGGTTCTTTATGTTGAGTTGGGGAAACACACATCATCCTGTCAAGTCTATCAACTCTAAGCATTAGACAGTGGTTCTGAGTGTCAGTAGGGGTACTGTGTATTATTTTTAAACATGGTGAGATTATCTAGGCCTACCCAAAACACAGGGACAGTAGGTGAGTTTGCCAGACATGCCTTTCCCTCTCCCCATTTAAGGAGCCCTGAAACTTGTTAACATCTCGAAGGAGAAAGCAGATGCTCTTTTGAGTCTCCTTTGTTACTTAGCATCTAAACAGAGATGGGTGGGGGTGGTTAGCTGCCCTGGCTTTTTAGTTTTTACTTCTTCATTCCAATGTCTGAGTCTGACACTTTTAATGTTTAAATAATTTATTAAAATAATGAACACATTTATTAAAATAGTGTAATGTATTAATAAAATAATGTAATTTCTCTGTGTTCTCATCTGTTCTGCTTCAGTTAGCACTGTCCCTATGCCTGACCTGCTATGGAAGAGTTAGCAACAGGAAGAAACCAGGCTATACCTTCAACATTCTGCTTAGAAATCTCCTCACCATCTTTATAAGTTTGGTTTTCATGTAGGACATGATTCAGCCATATTATAAGGATTTGCTTCCTGTGTGTTTTTTATGCTTTTCTCCTTTTCCTATATGTTACCATTAACATGTCTCTGACTTCTTTCTAAACCTTTACCAGCAGTGCCTTTTATGTCTACATTTTTGCTAAGTGTGTCCATAATGAGTTAGGCATTCTCTAAGATGACATGTATCTTTTTTTTGTTGGTAGTGGGGATTGAATTCAGATCCTTATGATGTATATCTTTTCTACCATTTCCGTACTTCTTTCTGAGACCTCTATAGCAGAATCTATGACATTCATATTTCTATTAACAATCTTCTCAAGGAAACAGAAGCCTTTTCTGTCCTGTTCAAAATTTTTCCATCCTTCACCAGCAGCCCAATTCAGAAGCTATTTCTACATTTTTTAGGTATTTGGTGCAGCAGCATCTTACTTCCAGTGCTAGAAATTAATTTATTCAAAAAACCATATTCATGAAGCTGGGCATGGGAGCTCAGGCCTGTAATCTCAGCATTTGGGAGCCTCAGCAGGAGGATCATGAGTTTGAGGCCAGCCTGGGCTACATAGTAAGATCCTATCGCAGAAAAAAAACTATATTCATTTTCTATAGCTGCCATAACAAATTGCCACATACTTAGTAGCATAAATAACACAACTTTATTATCTAACAGTTCTGTAAGTCAGAAGTCCTGGACAGGTCTCACTGTGCTTAAGTCAAGGTATTGACATGGCTATGTTCTTTTCTAGAGGCTCCAGGGAAGAATCTGATTCCTGTCCACTCGTGGTGCTGCCAGAACCCAAGTGCTCTTAAATTGTGCTGTCCAATGTGTTTGCAAGGGGCATTTTTATGAAGCTACTCTCTGTCCTTGCCCTTTGTCTTTCTTTCCCTTTGTCTTTTTCCTTTTTCCCTACCCTAATGGAAATAGAAGAACCAATTTCATTTTCTGCTTTATTCATTTATTGTAGTCATGCCTGTTCAAAACTGGGCAGGACATTGAGATTCCCCTCCCACCACCCCATTCACTGGGAATTTGTGGTCTTTTGGAGTGAAGAAACTGGCCTATAGTTGCTTGGCTGGTTGTTGGGAAATTCAGGACTGGCACAGGTCTCCATTTCTACCCTTTACTTGGAGCAGACTTAACATGGCAGAATCCTGTCCTTCTGTCAAAAATCAAAACACTGAGCTATTTGGGAGACTGAGATAAGGAGAATTGAGGTTTCAGGCCAGCCCAGGCAAAAAGTTCTAAAGATCCCATCTCAACCAGTATGTGGGCATGGTGGCACATACTTGTCCTCACAGCTATGGCAGGAAGTATAAAATAGGAGGCTCACAGTCCAGGAAGGCATGGACAAAACACTATCTCAAAAATAACCAGAGCAAAAAGAGCAAATAACCAGACAAGGTGCAGACAGTAATGTGCCTGCCTGGCACGTACAAATCCTTGAGTTCTAACCCCAGTACCAAGAAAAAAAATACCAAAACACTACCCTCAAATCAAGACTTTTCTGTTAATTGTGAATTTTGACTTTTTTTAAGTCAACATTAAAAAATTTTTTTGATAGCAAAAAACATTCTCTAGTCTCTAGCCAGGTATGGTAGTGCACACCTGTAATCCCAGCACTCAGGAAGCTGAGGCAGGAGGATCCAGACTTCAAGGCCAGCCTGGGCTATGTATTGAGACTCAGTGTCAAAATAACCAAAACAATGAACAACAATAACAAAAAGATTCTAGGAAAAAAAAAATCACATTATACCTTAGAAGCTGGAGATTTTATTTGCTTTGAGTTAATCTTAATATCAAGTGTTTAGTGAATTCAAATACACTTTATATAAACAGATAATGATTCTGTGAGGTTTATTTAGTAGCAAGGGGCTAAATGTTATCAGTTGTTTACCAGATGAGAAATAATGTATGTGAGGATTGGTTGAGACACATTTTATTCACAACTGGTCATTTGAAAACTTTACCCAAGACTCCCAAGGCTGCTTTCAGATCTTCCCAAGGCTTCAAAGTGATAAGCTGGAGTTTTAATTTTGTAGAATCTTTGTGACCCGTGAGTATATGTCATACTTGCTCCACCAAGTGGAAGAGCTGAGGTTTCCTTTTGATTCCTAGAGGTGAGATCTGCAAAGTGATTGGGGAGTTAGAGGGTCAAGGAGTTTGCCTTCTTTTGCTTCATGAAATTTCTCTCTCTCTGTCTTTGTCTCTCTCTCTCTTTTTCTCTGTCTCTTTCTTTTGTGGTGCTGGGGGTAGAACCCCATGCCTTTCCCATGCTAGGCAGGTGCTGAACCTCTGAGTCACCCCAGCCCTGTCTCTTTTATCTTAAGACACAGTACCAAGTGTCACTGCTTTGAATCCACGCAGCAGGAACTCGTGGCTTTTGAGAAGTGTCAGTCTCAAATGGTCAGTGTGTATTCCTCACATTGTTGGAATTCTTTTCTCCCTTTACTTTGTACATTCATCAATTCTTGATGAACTCTGCTAGAAGGTTTAAGATATGGAAAATAACTGATCGTATCTCACATAGCTGGAAGACTTAAAAAATAAAACAAGTCATGTTTGTGAATTCCGGCAAATAGTGCTAAAGTTTAATCACAAGCCACAAAGGTCGACAGCCTTGCAGTGGGGAAACTGGGGGTGTGGCCCTGCCTCTGGGGAAAGGGCCTGAGACCAGCTGAGGTTGTCACTGTGAGGCTCTGCTGATTGCCTTTGTATGTGTTATCTCTGGCAGCTCCTTTAGTGGCAGAGTTTTCCGAATGACCTTCTTGATGCTGGCTGTTTCCCTCACTGTTCCCCTGCTTGGAGCCACGATGCTGCTGGAGTCTCCTATAGATCCCCAGCCTCTCAGGTGAGCCACCCACAGTCCTCTGAAGGGATTGCTTAATGAAATGTATCAGGCTGATGTAATTTCTAGGAAAAGGAGGACAATTAAATCAGTCTGGAATGAAGGTAAGTTATGAGAAATAGAGCTCTGTCATTTCTAAAGAAAGGTACTAAAATACTTGAGTTTTCATGTTGAATTAGATATTACTTAGAATACATGTGTGGAATTGTCTCTGTCCTTGTTTCAAAAACTACAAAACAAGTACAAAAATCAAAATAAGAGAAGCTTAGGAGTTAGAAGTTGAAGTGCCAAAAGCACATGCAAGTAAAGTTAAGGCTACCTTGTTTAAATTTTGTAAGTAATTGATTTTTAAGAAAACCTGTAATTAGGGTTCTGTTTTTGCTAAGTTATCTTTCACCAGTAAAGATCTATGAGGAATATAGTCCATTATTGTTGCAGAAAGGCTCAACGGTGACTGAGAGGGCACCAAAGCTTTCGGGAAGCAAGTTTATTAAGCAAGCTGGCAGCAACTCAGCAGACTCTAGTCCAAAGGCTGAGCCCTGAGAACAAAGGGGGATTTCCTTATATACCATTTAGAGCAGGTTACAGAAATGGGTGGGCGGGGTACAGCTTGTCCCATACATAATCACATGTTATTTCATTGGCTGCCCTAACCTCTGGGGCAAGGTAACCCTTCTCTGGTCTCCAGGTAACATTCCCCAACTCTGTTTTTCCTTTGTTTCACTGTAGCACTCATTAATCTCTCTTCCCCCTCTCTGCCTTCCTTCCACATTATAACTTAAAAAAATTTTCCCCTTGAAATATTTTCATGTTTGTGATTATAGTAAGGCAAGGTTCTTATTGGTGTGATGGCTTTTGACATGGAGACTAAGCTGGTGGCAAGAGGGCTGTGCAGTTTGGTTCAGGAAGTTCCTGGTTCTTCTTGAAATAACTGATGGAGGTGAAGTTGCCTAAAGTTTTTTGTAAATGAGTTAGTCTATGTAAGACTGAACACTTCAGACAAGAACCATGTCTAACTCTACAGCAAATATAACATACAAAGTTGAATAATGTGTTGGTGTTTTATACATAAAAATTAAGGTTTTATATTGGATTCAATGCACTAAAAATGTGTTCACTATCTAGTATGCCTGAGTAGATACAGAGATTAAAGAGGGCTTGATTCTGATCTTAGATTGACATCTGCATACAAGAGTCAACTTGTTGTTGGATTTAGAATTAGTGGAGAGGTTGGGGATGTACCTTAGTGGGAGAACACTTGTAACTGCAAGGCTGTGGGTTTGACCTCCCCAGCACCACAAAAGAAAAAAAAAAAAGAAAAGAAAACCAAAATAATCACTAGAATTAGTAAAGATATGATGTACACTAAAAGCACAATTAACTTCCATAAGATGGAGAATGGATGAAGACCTACTCAGTCACAGAGTGTTGGCTCTAAGTCCTGGTGTGTTGATGGCTTACATGTGTTTCCTCCCTGAGCCAGGCATGAAGACATTCAGGGAATCCTCTCAGAGGTGCCTCTCTTGCTAACCCTTGTCAACATGTAGAGTGATGACTCAGTCCACCCCAAGTAGACCTGATCTGGGCCTTACTGGATAATTCTGAGGCAAAGGCAGGAGAGTGAACAGCGTCCAGAGCTGGGGATCAGAAGCACAGATTTGGATTAGCCTTGGAAAGTGGGGAGCAGCAGCGCAGGTGATGATGGAGATGGAGGATGGAGCTTCAGTGACTGAAATCCACTGATCTCAGAGAAGACCAATTTGTGTGTGGAAGGAGTGGTGATGAAATGCAGCAGGAAGAGGGGTGTGTAGCCCTGCCAAAAACAGAGGAATGTAGTCATACAAAGTTAGTTCTTTCCGTGGAGTAGGTCTGCTTCATGAGGCAAGAAGGCTTAAACCAGAGTGGCCGACAGGGGTCCTCTGATCTGCTCAGATTTGGGGCTGATGTGCTCAGGAATTGGGAGTAAGACACAGAGCAAAAGCAGAAGACTGGCAGAGAGTTCCAAGAATAGCAGTGAGGCAAAAGTTGCTAATGACAATAGCTAAAAAGGTTTCTTTAAAGTTCCATTCAGAGCAAAACAAGCAAGGATAGAGAGGAGATGGGTGGCAGCTCTTCCAGACTTGAAGATGATATACTTGGTGTCACTACTTAGGGAAAAATGTCACCTGGAAGGTTTCAGGACCACTCAAAGCCTAAGCCACAAAGCTTCCTTCCTTTTCTTTTGTGGAAGATCAGAGGGGTGTCCTAGACACATCATATTTGATATCCTGTTGACAGGGTCTTTGAAGATCCACTTGACAGCATGCTGAAATGTGAGCAGGATGATAGGGCTGTCATATATAGTTGGCATAATGAAGAAAGCTGGTATCAACTCAGCAATGCTTGCCACAGAGAAGTGAGCCAGCCGTGGTACCAGAATCAGTCTGGATTGCACAAAACTTCTCTTAAGCACTTCTGAGCATCAGCTCTCTTAGATTCCAGGTTGCTTTTCCTACTGCAGGAGGTTAGGGTGTAAGGGACACCATTTCTGCTTTTCCCATGCAAGTCTCTCCATGTTTGTATTTTCTTACTTATTTTGTATTGTGACCTACTCTAATATCCCTGAACATTTCTTTTACCTTAACCTTTGTTTCTGGCAACTAAGGATGTTATTGGAATGTGCTTTGTTTATTAAAGAACAGATGATGGTAGTAGGTCGTGAGTAAACATTTTACTTCATGTATATTTTTATACACAAATCCCTATTATTGCATTATTTTACAGCTTCAAAGAACCCCCTTTCTTGCTTGGTGTTCTGCAACCAAATACGAAGTTGCGACAGGCAGAAAGGCTGTTTGAAAATCAACTTACTGGGCCAGAATCCATAGCAAATATTGGTGGTAAGTAGCATCTTCCCACCACCCCCAACTGTGGAGTGTGACTTGGATGCCTTCCAGGCCTGGTTGCTCAAGGGGATGGGTTCTGTGGGAGCAGCTGCAGTGGCATGCTGCTGCCAAGTGAGGAGCCCTGGGCATACTTTTAGCTGTGGACATCCCATAGTAGTGGCCCAAGGGAAATAGCTCTTTCTGCCTGTCTTCATGTCCAGGTTTAATGCCACCATGCCACTATGCTGTGGGGCGAGTTCAAGTCCATCCTTCCTTCCTTCCCTCCCTCTTTCCTCCTTCCCTCCCTCCCTTTCTCCCTGCCTGCCTCCCCACCCCTTCTCCTTTACCCCATCTCTTTTCCACCTACCCCCCTTTCTCTTGCCCCAGGATTGTACCTAGGGCCTCATGCATGAGGCAAGCATTCTACCACTTGAGCTATGCTCCCACCCCTTTTATTTTTATTTTTGCTTTTGAGACAGAGTCTCACTATCTTTTTGTTCCAGCTGGCCTCAAACTTGCCATCTTCCTGTCTCTACCTCCTGAGTAGTTGGGATTTCAGTCTTGTGCCACCGTGCCTGGCTTCAAGTTCATCTCTGCAGAGCACTTTACTGTGCTCAAAGTTTTGTGAAGGGGCAAAAGGCAAAATGCAGACAATGATATTTAATTCATTTGTCAAAGTTAGGCAGATGTTCCTTGACAGCACATTGTTTCTTTTCTCATTTTGTCTTTGCTTAGGTTTCATTTTGAAATGTATTTCCACTGAACAAGAATTGGATCTGGTTCAAAGGCTTTTATATCTAGCAACCTGGACCTAGGCATTTTCTGTGTGTTAAAATGAGAATTAAGCTTAGGATTGAAAAGACACAGTTAATGAAAAGATTGACAAATTAACTGGTGTGAGGATTTCTGAACTGCTTCTTTTGAAGTGACATTAGTCACTCAGAAGTCCAGTGTTTTACCTGGCAATGGCTGGGGATATGTATATAGAGTGCACTTTTGTTTTGTTTCTCAGACTGATCAGCAACTGATCCCTGGGTGTTTGAGCATCTTCCCTTGTCCTGCCTCTGCTGTTGACCAGGGAACCAAAGGCTGACCCATTTCAGCAACTGTTGGTTTGTTTTTTATTTGGTGAAGTCAAAATTGTTTCAAGAATAACAGGTACTTCATGATAGAACTTCATGTTCCTCTTAAAAACATTGATATTAGTAAATTTCATGAATTTTGGTGAAAAAAATCAAATGTTGCAGTTTAAAACTGGAACTTACAGGAGTTAAAGTGCAAGTCAGTGGTCTTCCCTTACCTCTCAAAGAGAGTGCTTGCTCTGCCTTTTCCCTTTCTCCACATTGAGAAGCTGGTTATTATCCACTGGTGACATTTCTGGTTAGGCCCACTGGGGACCTCTCTTGTTATGTCTCTGTGGAGATCTGGGCTACCATAGTCTTATTTGAAGGTTGTCCTGGGGATGGCTGGCAGGTGCTAATAGCCTCAGGAGGGTGCTGGTGGAGAGTAACCACCAATTAACATGCTTTATTTTATTTGTTTTTAAGTAGACTTATTTTTAAAGAGTAGTTTTAAGGTTACAACAAAATTGAGCAGATGGTACAGAGATTTTTCTGAAAATTTTTTTTTATTATGAATGGGTATTGGTTCTGGCTATATATGTACGGCCTACCCCATTGTCATCCTTCTCCCCAGAGTGCTACTCTTTTTTTTTTTTGTTTTAAACAATTGATGAACCCACTTTGACTTGTCATTAGGGTTCACTTTTGGTATACATTCTCTGGGCTTGGATAGAATTGTAATGACATATATCTACCATTACAGTATCATACAGGATATTTTACCTACCCTGAAAATCCCCTGTGCTTTCCTTTCGCTTTTAACCCTTAGCAACCACTGATATTTTTTATTATCTCCATGGTTTTGCCATTTCCAGAATGTCATATAGTTGGAGTCATACAATATTCAGCCTTTTCAGATTGATTTGTTTCACCTAGTAATGTGCATTTAAAGTTCCTCCATGTCTTTTCATGGCTTGATAGTTCATTTCTTTTAAATACTGAATCATATTCCAGTGACTGGATGTACCATAGTTTATTTATCTCTTTGCTTACTGATGGACATTTTTTTCCAAGTTTTGACAATTATTAATAAGGTTGCTGTAAATAACCAGTGTGAGATTTTTGTGTAAACATAAGTCATTTGGGTAAATACCAAGGAGCATGAAGAGTGAATTATAAGGTAAAGAAAAAGTTTAGTTTTGTTTTAAAAAACAATAAAGAAGACAAAACAAAAGCCTTCAAACTGTCTTTCAAAGTGGCTATATCATTTGGCATTCCCATTAGCAAAAAATGAGAGTTCCTCGTGCTCCTAGTCCTTGTCAGCATTTGTTTTCAGTGTTTAGGGTTTTGGCCTTTCTCATAGGTGTGCAGAAGTATTTCAGGGTTGTTTTGATTTGCACTTTTCTCATAACACATGATAATGGAGCATCTTTTCATATGTAGACTTGAGGTATCTGTTCATGTCCTTTGCCCATTGGGTTGTTCATTTTTTTATTTAGTTTTTAAGAGTTCTTTGTATATTTTGTACAACAGTCCTTTATTGCACATATCTTTTGCAAATATCTTTTCCTAGTCTGTGGCTTGTCTTCTGTCCCTCCCCGCCCCCTCAGTGGCAGGTACCCCTTCTCAGTTTCTTGGTAGGTTCTTTCACAGGGTTTTAAATTTTAATGATGTCCAGCTTGTCATTTATTTCTTCATGAATCATTTCTTTGATATTGTATCTATGAACATTATTGTCATGCTCAAGGTCACCTAAATTTTCTCCTGTGTTACCTTCTAGGAATTTTATTTTATTTTTTTTTGTTTTTTACATTTACTCACATGTGTATACATTGTTTGGGCCACCCTCCCCCTCCCCGCAAAACCTGTTCCGCCCTCTTGTTCTCTGATTTTGTTGAAGAGAAAACATAAGCGATAATAAGAAACACATAGCGTTTTTCCTAGTTTGAGATAAAGATAGCTATACAGAGACATCCCTAGCATTGCTTCCATGTACTTGTGTATTGCAACCCACATTGGTTCATCTCTACCACACATCCTCAATACGTCCTGGTCCCCTCTAGGGACCAGGCAGTGTCTGCCAGTTTAAGACTACTATATTTGGTCCTCAACCACATTCAAGTTTTAGGTTTCCTTCCCTTTCTCTTTTCCTCCTGTGTGCATTTTCCCCTTAGTGTGTGACCCATGTCATAAATATTACTGCATTTGTTTTAGGTCTATAATCTGCATATGAGGGAGAACATGTGATTTTTGGCCTTCTGAGCTAGCTAATGTCACTTAAGTTTAAGTTCTCCAGTTCCATCCATTTGCGAATGACAAAATTTCATTTTTCTTTGTGGCTGAACTAAATTCCATTGTGTATAAATACCACATTTTCTTAATACATTCTTCCATAGTGGGCATTTTGGCTGTTTCCATAGCTTGCCTATTGTGACTAATAATAAACATGGGTGTGCAGGTGCCTTTGTAATAACCCGAGTTGCATTCCTTTGGGTATATCCCTAGGAGTGGGATTGCTGGATCATATGGCAGATCTATGTTTAGTTTTTTGAGAAGCCTCCATATTGTTTTCCAAAGTGGTTTTACTAGCTTACATTCACACCAGCAGAGTATGAGGGTTGCTTTTCCCTGCATCCTTGCTAACATTTGTTGTTGGTGGTGTTCTTGATGCTAGCTATTCTAACAGGAGTGAGGTGGAATCTTAGTGTGGTCTTAATTTTCATTTCCTTTATGGCCAAGGATGGTGAGGATTTCTTCATGTGTTTTTTGGCCATTGGACTTCTTCCTTTGAAAAAGTTCTATTTAGTTCAGTTGCCCACTTCTTTATTGGTTCACTGATTTTGGAGGAGTTTAGTTTTTTGAGCTCCCTGTATATTCTGGTTATCAGTCCTTTGTTGGATATAAGCTAGCAAATATTTTCTCCTCTGTGGGTGGTCTCTTCAATTTAGAGACCATTTCTTTTGTTGTGCAGAAGCTTTTTAATTTCATGTAGTCCCATTTATCCATCCTTTCTCCTAGTTGCTGGGCTGCTGGAGTTCTATTGAGGAAGTCCTTACCTATACCTGTTGCTTCCAGAGTATTTCCTGTACTAACTGCAAGGTTTTGGGTCTGATTTTAAGGTCCTTACTTCACTTTGAGTTGATACTAGTACAGGGTGACAGGCATGGATCTAGTTTCAGTTTTCTACAGGCAGATAACCACTTTTCCCAGCAACATTTGTTGAAGAGGCTGTCTTTTCTCCATCATATGTTTTTGGCAACTTTGTCAAAAATAAGGTGGGCGTAGCCATGGGGATTCATATCCGGGTTCTGTATTCTGTCCCACTGGTCTTCATATCTGTTTTTGTGCCAGTACTATGCTGTTTTTATTGCTGTGGCTCTGTAATATAGTTTGAAGTCAGGTATTGTGATACCTCCAGCATTGCTCTTTTTGCTCAGAATTGCCTTGGCTATTTATAGTCTTTTGTGTTTCCAAAGGAACTTTAAGGGTAGATTTTTCAGTCTCTGTGATGAATGTCATTGGGATTTTGATGGGAGTTGCACTGAACATGTAGATTGGTAGAATAGCCATTTTTACTATGTTGGTTTTGCCAGTCCATGAGCATGGGAGATCTTTCCACCTTCTGTAGTTTTCTTTGATCTCTTTCTTCAGTGGTTTGTATTCTCCTTGTAGGAATTGTTAGTTTTGTATTTTACATGTAGGTTTTTGATCAACTTGGAATTAATTTTTGTGAGTGGTATAAAGTCTATATCTAGATTCTTTTTTTTTTTTTTGCATGTCAGTTTTAGTACCATTATGGTAAACACTATGTTTTCTCCAGTGTGTTGCTTTGGCTTCTGTGTCAAAGACCAGTTGACTATTTATGTGGGTCTGTTTCTGAGCTCATTATTCTGTTCCTTTGGCCTGTTTGTTCTTTTGCTAGTAACAGATTGTCTGGATTACTGTAGTTTTATATTTAGTCTTGAAGTTGAGAATTGTCAGTCCTCTAAATTCATTCTTCTTTAATATTATGTTGGTGCTTTTGGGTCTTTTGCCTTTCCATGTAAACTTTAGGATCAGTTTGTTGATATAAACAAAATACTTTGCTGGGATTGATTGGAACTGCATTGAATTTGTAGACCATTTTGGAAAGGTGTGACATCTTGACAATATTTAGTCTTCTTATCCATGAAAGTAGAGTATTTTCTCATTTATTTAGTTATTTGATTTCATTAATCAGTTTTGTAGCTTTCCTCATAGAACTTGTGCTAATATCATTCTTTTGGGTGCTAATATAAATGGATTATGTTTTAATTTCAGATTCTACTTGTTCATTGCTGGTATATAGGACTGTGATTGACTTTTGTATCTGCATCCTGTAACCTTGCTATGATTGTATATTACTTCAGGAGTTTATTTTGTTGATTCTTTTAGATTTTCTATATAGATGATTGTGTTGTCTGTGAGCAAAGACAGTTTTATTTCTCCCAGTCTGTATCACTTTTATTTCCTTTTCTGTCTTATTGCATTAGTTAGGACTTCCAATATGATGTTAAAACAAGTGGATATCCTTTCCTTGTTCCTAAGCAGAGCAGCTTTGTGTCCTCAGAGCTAATGTTAACTGTAAGTGTTTGTAGATGTTCTTTATTAGGTTGTGAATGCTCCCCTGTTCTTAACTTTTCTCTCTATGAACAGCTGTTGCATTTTTGTTAGAGACCCTTTCTATATCTTTTGATACAATCATGATTTTTCTTTTAATCTGTTAATGTGGTAGAGTACATTAATTGAATTTTGAATGTGAATGAGCCTTATGTAGCTGGAATAAATCCTACTTGGTTGTGTGATATAGTTCTTTTTGTACTTTGTTGGATTTGATCTACTAATATTTTGTTGAGGGCTTTGCATGTATGTTTCTGAGAGATATCGGTTTGTAGTTTTCTTACAATAATTTGTGTGGTTGTAGTATTAGATTTCAAAGAATGAATTAGGAAGTATTTACTTCTGTCTCCTGAAGGAGACAATTGGATATAATTTCTTAAATGTTTGGTAAAATTCACCAATAAACCCATCTGGACCTGATGCTGTCTGTCTTGCAGGATTTATTGATTCAATTTTTTTAATACATATGTGGCTATTCATATTGTCTTTTTCTTCTTGTGTACTTTTGGCAGAGTGCGGTCTTTTTAAAATTGAGTGCATTTAATCTAGTTTGTAGACACAGCATTGTTCAGAGTATTCCTTTATTATTCTTTCAGTATCCATAGGATCTTTAGTGATGTTCCCTGTTTTGTTTCTAAGGTTAGTAATTTGTATCTTCTTTAATCTTTTTTTTCTGCCTAGATATTTATCAATTTTGTTGATATTTTCAAAGATTAGCTTTTGGTTTTAATTATTTTTTTCTTTATCAATTTCCTGGTTTTTTGTTTGTTTGCTTGTTTTGTTTTTGGTGGGACTGGGGTTTGAACTTAGGGCTTCACATTTGCAAAGCAGGTGCTCTACCACTTGAGCCACACCTGCAATTCATTTTGCCCTGGTTATTTTGGAGATGGGGTCTCACATACTGTGCTCTTGCTAGTCTTGAGCTGCAATCCTTCCAATCTCAGACTCCCAAGTAGCTAGAATTACAGGTGTGGGCCCTGTTCTTTGTTTCTATTTTTGACTTCCACTTTCCCCCCCTTCCTTTTGTAGTTTTAAATTGAATATTTTAGGGTTTTTGTTTTTTTAGTGCTGGGGATTGAGTCCAGGGCATTGCCTGCGTTAGGCAAGCTCTGTACCACTGAGTTACATGTTCAGCCCCCAAATTGAGCATTTTATATAATTTTATTCATTCTGTTTCTTAGCATATGTATATATATATATATATATATATATATATATATATATATATTATCTATCTATCTATCTATCTGACTATCTATTTTTACTTTTTGTAGTGGTTACCCTAGAGTTTGTGGTACATATTTTAAAAATTATGGAACATTCATGAATTTGTGTATCTTCCTTGCTTCAGGGCTATGCTAATTAATCTTCTATGTCTTGGTCTAATTTTAGTACATGTGCTGCTAAAGTGAACAGTTTATGGGGTTTGATTTTATCCTGGAGTATTCCTAGCACCTCTAACCCTTTAGCAGGATGTAATCAGTGCTAGCAGCAGACATTGATGTAAGGTGAATGTGAACTTATGCCTGTCTGAGAGTCTTAGGACTAGAGAAAAGCCCCAAGGTTCTTATCACTGACTCATGTCTGCTACACCCTTGCTCCAGAATCAGCTTCAGGTCCATCACTGGTTCCTGACTTTCTCCCCCCACCCTTTCCCAGATATCACTTCTTCATTCTCTGAGCTGCCATTTCCTCTGTGGAAATGAAAAACATAACCAAGCCCCCTCTTTTGTAGAAGAAGGTGGTATGGTCATAGATCTTAAGCCAAATCCTTAAAGATCTTTTTTCCTTTTTTTTCCAAACAGATGTGATGTTTACTGGTACAGCAGATGGCCGGCTTGTAAAACTTGAAAACGGGGAAGTGGAGACCATCGCCCGGTTTGGTTCAGGCCCATGCAGTAAGTTGGTGACAAATCATTTAGCAGGTGCTGTTATGGAACTGCTTTCACCTTTGAAGATGAAGAACCCCCGACCATCTGGCAGACATAGCTTGCTGTGGTGTGACCCTGAGCTCCATGTTTGCCAGGTGGTCACTGAATCTCACAGTGTCTGGTAGTCCCTCTGCAATCCTACTTCCCAGTTGGGCAGTGGCCATGGTACCTATTCAGTATGTTGTGTGGCCACAGCCCTTCACCATTCCATTCAGGTCCTCAGTCACTTTTGTGGTCCTCAAAGTTTAGTGAGCGTTGTTGGAATACTGCTATGAAAAAGTAGGTGCCTTTGCCATTGCTTAGATACTTCAATATAATTCCTGCATTACTTTCTTAAGAATATCAGCAGTGTTATTCCAAGTTCAAATACCCACCTGGCATGGTGGTGCATACCTGTAATCCTAGTACTTGGAAGGATGAGACAGGAGGATTGCAAGTTTGAGGCTAGCCTGGGTTGACTTGTGAGACCTTGTGAAAAATATCCCCAAAACCCAAAACAACAGCGACAAGGCTTAGAGTAGAAGAATATCACTATTAAAAAATTTGGCATTTCACAGACTTCTTATTAGTTGTTATGTTAATTTTAAATTTAATTAATTTAATTAATTTTTAATAGTGCTGGGAAGGGAACCCAGGGTCCTGTGCGTGTCATGCATGTGTTTTACTGCTGAGCCACATCCCCGGTCCTAATTATCATTTTTAATAGCTGGAATGTTTTTTCTTTTGCATTTTCATTGTGAAATGGAAACAATACAAAACAATACAAATACAGAAAAAGCAAAATCAAAACCACCTTTCAGGTGTAACAGTTATTGACATTTTAGCAACTTCAGGCATCTTTTTATTCATGGACACCCACACTTCCAGTTTTCTGTGATAGAATTATACTCTACATTTGGTTTTTTCACCACCTCTTTCTACTCCATTTTGGCAGTAAGCAGCCCACAGTGAGCACCCAGCAGCGAGCACCCTTTGTGGGCACCTACAGTACTTGCAGTGAGTACCCCATATTAAGCACCCCATAGTGAACACCTTCAGTGAGAACTCAGTAAGTTCCTGCAGTCAGCACCCCTTAGTGAACACCCACAATAAGCACCTGTGCTGAGCCCTGCAAGGGCAGCTCTAGCTTTAATGCCATGGTCTTTTTTGCTCTATACTGCATGATGTCTGTTTAGGGAGGGATGGATGAGATACTCAGACACTGAAGACACTTGGAACAACCGCTGATTCCTGTCCTTTGTCTTCCTAGAAACCCGAGACGATGAACCTGCTTGTGGTAGACCCCTAGGCATCCGGGCAGGGCCCAATGGGACTCTTTTTGTGGCCGATGCATATAAGGGACTGTTTGAAGTAAATCCTAGGAAACGTATGTGACAATAATTTGTTTCTTTCTATGATTTTTTCAGCTCTTTAAACAATATGTGCATAAGACGATAGTATATGTTAAATACAGTCTGCTTGGAGTCTAATTTTTTTACTCACTGAATAGTACTGAAAGCATTGACTATATATGTATCTTTATATCTCTCTACATCATTCTGTTTTTTCTTTCTCTTTCTTCAGCTCCTTGTCCTCCCTTTCTTGCCCTTGACTAATTTTACAATATTTGCTGTGTATACTTTCTTGATGGATGTTTATGTGTGGAGGAGTCTGGCGGGGCCTGACCATAGGCACTGCAGACTGGTTGCTTGGGTAGCCCCAGCTGTGCTGTCTGCTGGCTATGTAACTATTTAGGTTATTTGCCCTCTCTGAGCCTAGTTTCCTTGAGAATAAGTTAGGGGTAATAGTAGGACCTGCCTCATAGGCTTCCATGAAGATCTACATGAGATTATATGTGGAAAGAGCTTAGTACTCAATAAATGTCTTATTTGTTATTTTGTTTTATGTTTGAGGTAGGGTCTTGTTGTATTGCTCAGGCTGGCATCAAATTCCTGGGTTTAAGTGATTCTCCTGCCTCTACCTCTCAAGTAGCTGGGATTGCAGGTACATGCCCCAGTGTGCCTGGCTGTTTTTTAAAACTTGTCTCTGCTACTTCTGAACTTAAATGCAGATGAGTAGAACATTTTATATTTCTCTCAAGCAAATAGAACTAAATCTTTTTACTTCACATTTTTAATAGATTTTAAAAAATCTGTTGGCCTCAGTGAAAGAGTTTCTTATCTTTACAGAAAGGAGTCTACCTTTGATAAATTTAGTCTAAAAAAATTTCATTACCTGCTAGGTACCATTGGCTTACAACTGTAATTCTAGCTACTTTGGAGGCTGAGATCAGGAGGATCACAGTTCAAGGCCATCCTAGACAAATAGTTTGTGAGACTGCCCCATCTCGAAAATAACCAGAGCAAAATGGACTGGAGGTGTAACTCAAGTGGCAGAGCATGTGCTTTGCAAGCATGAAGCCCTGAGTTCAAACTCCAGTCTCCCCCATGCCTCCCCCCCACCTCCTCCCCACCGCCAACAAAAAAAAAAATTATCACCTAACAGCTAATACACTGTTCTGACTGTAAGAAGGAACAAATCTTCTGACATATGGCATAGAAACTCATTTTAGTTTTTTTCTTTCATATCAGCTAGGCTGATTAATATTTTAAAATTATTGAGAAACCAGTTCCTAGAGTGAAAGTACATCTTTCTTTTTTCTAACTTCAGGTGAAGTAAAACTACTGCTATCCTCTGACACACCCATTGAGGGAAAGAAAATGTCCTTTGTGAATGATCTTACCATCACTCGTGATGGGAGGAAGATTTATTTCACAGATTCTAGCAGCAAATGGCAAAGACGAGATTACCTGCTTCTGGTTATGGAGGGCACTGATGATGGGCGGCAAGTGTTCATTTCAAGTCTTCCATTCCATTAATTGGCACCCAGCAGGTGACTGCAGCAAAGTTGTTACTTCAAGGAGCTATTTGGGTATTTCTGAGCATAATTTAGCTCCTAGGATAGGTAGGATCTCACTTGTTTCTGGAGTCAGGCGAGAGCAGGATACTCTCACTTCCTCTTTGAGGAAATAAAATGAAACAAACCAGTCCGTCCACAAGGGTAGTTCTAGACAGACTGGCAAAGTCCCACAGCAGGGCTGGACTTCAGTTGTGTTCCTCCCTGCTGCCCACCCCCCCCACTCTCCCCCACGTGCCCCCCTGTGCTGACCTCACTCCCAGCTCGGTGAGAACACTGAGCATGGGCGGGGGTGGGGGGTGGGCTCTGGAAGAGGACACTATGGATCTGCTATGGATGGGGAAGGCCCCCACTGGCCAGCCCGGGACAAGGTCTAAGCAGAGAACCCCTGGGCCTGGTCACTCCAGTGTGAGCCTAAATCACCTTCTATACCCTATACCCCAAAAACCCAGAACAAGGGACAAAGAAAGCTCCAAGCCCCAGAGAAGCATAGACTCTTCCCCTGCATGACCATCCACTTTTGGCCTTCCATAGCCTGCTGGAATATGATACTGTGACCAAGGAAGTGAAAGTTTTATTGGACCAGTTGCAGTTCCCTAATGGGGTCCAGCTTTCTCCTGAGGAAGACTTTGTCCTGGTGGCAGAAATGACCATGGCCAGGATACGAAGGTACATGTGATGTTAGCCAGCTGTCAGTTGTTTGCTAGAGCTTGCCACGGCCTTTGATGGGATGGAAGCAGGTTGACAGGAGTTTGAGGTATATAGCAGGTGCCTCTCCTTTGTATAATAATGTTGATAGTAAAGTTGAAGGATGGGTTTCCTTCCTCAGTTCTTAGCCTTCTTGAGAGTCATAGTCTGGGAGAGCAACTTAATTTAATGCCAGCTGTACAGCCTGGGTCTCATTTCCCTGTTGGGTGGGAGTTGGTTCATCTCACCTGTTTCTTTGGTCAAGCTGCACGCAGGGCCCTCGGGTGTCATCTCCACAGCTGTGTCAGTGTTATGATGGACACATTTCCAGTAGTTTCTATACATATATTTGGACTAAGGCCAGTTTTGAATTTGGCTGATTTTTTCCTAAAATTGGGGCGGAGGTGTTACTGCTCACTACCTGCTTGGATATTTTTCAGAGTCTACGTGTCTGGCCTGATGAAGGGAGGAGCTGATATGTTCGTGGAGAACATGCCTGGATTTCCTGACAACATCCGACCTAGCAGTTCCGGAGGTTACTGGGTCGCTATGTCAACCATTCGCCCTAACCCTGGGTTTTCCATGTTGGATTTCTTATCTGAGAAACCTTATATTAAAAGAATGATTTTTAAGGTAATTATAAAAACTATAGTTCCAAAAAGCAAAATAAAAACGTATCTAATTAATGATTTTTGTTTTTGCTTTTATAGCCTTAAAAGTTCTAGTTCTACTTATGATAATAATGACTACCTATAAACAGATTTTATTCTTCACCCTGAAATATAAAATTTAAGCCCTTTGAGTTATTTTCCCTTTTCCTTGTGGTTTCTGTTTCTGGGTATTTTTGTTACCTCACCATTGTGACTGCTGGGTCCTCCTTCCTGCCTGTCAGTCTCATTCCTCCCTCTCTGCCATGGCTATTTTAGACCTCCTTTGCCCTCCTCTGGACCCTGTGACTTTGCCTTCCACCCTGCCCTCTTCACAGAGAAAACAGTCATCGGTGCATCTTCCTTTCCTTCCTGTGGCCACATGGATAAACCCTCTTACCTCCACTTCCATTCTGACTGCTGTCTTCTGCCTTCTCCATAGGATTCTGCCCTTTGGCCTCTTGACACATCAGACTCTTTTGCATTAACAAAAACTACCCATCCCCACCAATGGCCAGTCACAGCCCCTTTGACATGGCCTTTAAACATGTGTCATCCTACCATTTCCCTAGTGCCTTCCACAAAACACCTCATTGCAGGTCAGCACGTTTACACTGTGGAGAAGTAACTTGCTGACTTAGTTGCTTGTATAATGCAGAAACCTTTTTCAACAAACTGAGGAGGTATTTGAAATTGATACTGAATATTTGAACAGATAGAAAAATTTGTAAGGTAGGGTTCTGGAGGTAGCAGGCAGCAGTTACTGAAAATCCACAGTGCTGGTGTATGCATAGACCCACTGAGGGGCTGCATGCACATTCTTAGTGAGGCTGGCCCATGGCCTTTAGTGATGCAAGTTCAGTCTCTGTGGAAAAAACTGTCAGAAGTCTGGTCCTCCTGTGCCTTATTGGCTCCAGAGTCAGCCTCTGTCCCTGCTGAGAACATATAATGATGCATGTGATGCCCCTTAGCCAAGCATACTGAGTACTCGATTTCTATAATTGTCAGTGTTCTACAGCAGGAGTGAAATTGTCACCTGTTGTCTATTGTGGGGCGGGGGGTTGTATCTCTACTTCCTAAAGAACATGAACCTCATCAGAGTAGGTTTGTTTTTTTCCTTCTTTTTTTTACTAGTTTTTATTCAGCACCTCCAACAGAGCCTGTACATAGCATTCACCATCTGTGAGTCACCAGGAGTGAGTGATTAGAGTGCTCAGGTAGTAAGTGTGGCCAGGAACCAGCTGTCCCCAACTTGGCGGAATGTTTTCTGGAGATGTGAGAGCACTGATGGTTGGGGGTCCCTGGGGCAGGAGAGAGTGTAGTGTCTTTTGTGGCCTGGAGAGATCATGGGAGAGGGAGGAGAGGACCACAGGTCGCTAGATTTGGAAAGGTTAGATTTTATTTAAAATGTAATCTAAGGCACTGGAGATTTTTAAAAAATTACTTTTGAAATAATATTAAAGTTACAGAAAAGGAGCAGAAGGGTATGAAGAACCTTTTTCCTTGAACTGTCTGCAGGCAATTGTTGACCTGATTCCCCATCTCTCTCAGATACTGTAGTGGTTTTTTCCTATAGCAAGGACATTCTTCTTCATTACCACCAACCCAAACCAGAAAACTCAAGTGAATATCTTAGGACTGTCCAATTCACATGCCACTTCAGGTTTTGCCAGTTGCCCTGTTGTCCTTGATTAACCCAGGATCAAGCATGTTGTTTGTCACAGCTCTTTATTCTCCTTTAGTTTGGAGCAGTTTTTTTTTTTCTTTTTTAACTGGACTTTGAATTCAGGGCCTCCCACTTGCTAGTCAGGCACTTGAGCCACTCCACCTGCCCAGTCTTGCTTTGACTTTTAGACATTGATTGTTTGGGAAGCTGACAAGTCACTTGTGTAGCAGAATGTCTCTCCCTGTGGGTTTGTGATGTTGGCTCATGATTAGATTCAGGCTCTACATTGCTGGCAGGAACAGCAAGAAAGTGCAGAGTTGGGGGTGTGTCATGTCAGTGGCCCTGTTAGTGGTGGTGGCAACTTTGATTCCTGATTCAACAGAGAATGCCGGGCTTCCACTGTGAAGTCACTTTTTCCACTTGTAGTTAATGAGTATCTTGTGGGAGCATTTACAGCTAATCAGTGCCATCTTGTGGTTTCCTATAATATTACTGCCTTTATTTATCTTAATGCTCTTACTGGCCAGCTGTGGGCAATGGTAGCCCCTTCATTGTGACTTCTGACCTTTGGACACATCCCATGTCCTCACTGTCTAGCACATAGATTATTTCAGGTTCATGTTGTATTTTCCCTGCCCCCAGCTCTGGAATTGGCCATTTCTCCAAGGAGCACTGGTTCCTTCTGGAAGAGGTCTGGGTGCCAAGTATACATATGTATTTGTCTGTGAGCTGCTCCCAGTTCCCCTCATGGACAAAGCTAGGGAATGTAAACATGCACTTATACCTACATTTATTTATCATGTTTGTTTAAATTAAAAACCATAGTTCATGCAGATACAGCCTAGCACCATAAGGTTTATCCTAGTTTTCTCTATTTCTCCTTATATTTGTCTTCTCTTCTTTCTCTTTTTTTTTAAAGACAGGGTCTATGGTAGCTCAGGCTGGCCTCAAACTTGCAATCCTCCTGCCTTCACTTCCCAAGTACTAGGATTATAGCCACTCCAGTGAACCACATATTTACCTATTTAATCAATTCTGCCAAGTGTAACCAGTCTGTAACCACTGCATACCTCTCTGATGTGGCCCTTGCTGGGCTCTAGGCCAATCCTTCCCTGACCATTTGCTAGAGCCTGCCTTTCCCTTCAAGGACTCTGTTAGTCTGCACCAAGCTGTCCCTTCCTCACTCCATATGGCTCTGACAGCTTGTGCATGGCCACCCTACCCCATTGCAGGGACACTTCATTATCCTAGGTGTGCCCTGACAACCTGGTTTGAGTCACTGTCCTCTGCACATATCTGCCCTGCTCAGCCACACAAGCAGCTTCCTGTCTGGGTTGTTCAGGTTAGGAGTGATGTAGCACAAAGAAGGTCTTAGAAGATAACTGTAGCTGCAGAGAACAGCTTGTAGCAGGGCTTGGTTAGCTGTGGGGGGACTAATGGGGAGTTGTTCCAGTAACCAGGGAGAGGTTGGTGGTAGCACACATGTGGCAAATTGCAAGGCTCTGAGGGGCAGGGCTTGGTCTCCCTGGCCTGATCTCCATTGGCTTGGGGGTGGGGGTGGCAGAGCATGATTCCTGTCTCCAGAGGTACCAGGTCACTCCTTGATAGTGAGGGGCCATGTTGTCTGTCTTCTCACAGCATTCTCTTGGTCAGAAGGTAATTCTCCACTGTGCTTCTCTTCCAGCTGTTCAGTCAGGAGACAGTGATGAAGTTTGTGCCACGGTATAGCCTGGTCCTGGAACTTAGTGACAGTGGTGCCTTCCGGAGAAGTCTTCATGATCCTGATGGGCTGGTGGCTACCTACATCAGTGAGGTGCACGAGCATGATGGGCATCTGTACATGGGCTCCTTCAGGTCCCCCTTCATTTGCAGACTCAGCCTCCAGTCAGTTTAGCCAGCTCAGCAACTGACCCCACCATGCGTGCTAGGAATTGCCACACTCGGCCACCATATCTTGTCCGGGAGTAGCTGTGGACATAGCTCTGTCCTGTGTACCTTTCAGCCCTCAGAGGTGTGGTGGGAATAGCTGCTGCAACCCCAACGATGTGCAGACTCTGAGGTGTACTCCTCACCTGGGCTTGACTTCACCTGTAGAGTGAAGTATAACATATCTGCCACAGGGAAGACAAATTCATGTAAAGCCATTTTCTCTTAAGAGAAAAAAAAAAAAAACTCTCAAGTACAGTAATTGTGTGGAACTTGATAAACTCCATGCACTTTTAACAGGGCTCAGGGTTTGGTAGATAGAGCAGGAGATGAGCTGCCCAGGGATCTTATTGTTGCTACTGGTTCTGTCCTGCCAACCTCAGTCTTTCTTCTGAAATGGGATCTTTTGTTTTGTGTGTGTATATGGGCTGGGGAGCCTTGTACAAGTATGTTGAGGTCAGCTGGTAGATGCTGCACAAACCAAGACCTAGATTGTGCTCTCAGTTATTGTGTGAAACACTGATCCTTGGGCCCTGGGTATTTCCTGCCACAGTAGAGGGGCATCTGCCCACACTCCACCTTCTGTGGCCTAGTGCTTCTTCATATCAGAGGTTTGCAGGACTCCTGAGAAGGTGACTAGGAGAAGCAGGCCAATTTGAGCGGCCCTTGAGAAGACTTGGAGGGGCTTTTTTTCTGTGAATACCTGACTCACTGGAATTGAATGATTGAGCGATTCACTACCTACACTGGGAAGCATTTAGAAATGTCATTTTTAGGCCTTTGTTCTTCACCTCTAGACCCACAGATGTGAGTAGTGCACGTGTTGATGTCATACTTGTGCTAATGTAATAAGCCTTGCAAACTCGCTGTATTTCTTTAAGTATGTTTGCATGCTGGTCTTAATTTTGATAATAATAAATAATGTTAAATCCACTTTTCTGTTGTTTAACCTTTTTGATGGTGTGTTCTGGGAGTTTCTTCTCTTTCTTAATTATTTTTCTACTTTAATTATTTAACAGTGTTGATAAGAGGATTATTTTGGAGAAGGTGTTTTAGGGCCAAGCAGCCCATCTGGTGTGCTCAGAATGGAAGCTACAGGACCTCTTGGCACTCAGCTGTGCTTAGCTGTCTGCCTCCCAGCATTGATTCATCTTGGCTAAGTTCATAGTAGAAGTTTTTTCTGTTTACCATCCTACACCATGGGGTTAGCACTTGTTCCTTTTCTTCCTGGATATTTGTGAGAACACACGAGATTCTGTCTCTGGAAGCATTTGAAATAACTTGACAGACAATATTTTAAATAGGTAATGATACAGAAATTCAAAGAGAATAGATAGCTGTGGTAAGTGGAAGCCATGTGTGTTGTTAACCATGCTGGCCCTGGCCCTTCCCCCAGTACTGCTCAGTTCATGTTGGGGAAGTGCAGGGGTTTGGTGAGGGGCTGGTCTTGCCTAATCTTGTTGTGTCATCTCCCTAGAACTGGTGTTGTGTGGAATAGAGCAGCAGCAGAATAGTGGCAAGATGGGCTTCAGTCCAGTTGAAGCAACCCATGTTTTATCACAACAACTGTCAATATTATTCATATAACTTTTTAGGAAAGAAAATTGAATAGCCATTATTAAATACTTCTTAATAACTAATGCTTTGCCTCATATATTAGGTATAAAAGAATAATGTAATACTCAATTATTCTGTCATTAAAAACAATTTAAATGTGCTGGGCCTGTAAGTTGACTTCTCAATTCTTTGAGAACAGAGAGCTTTGCATTTAGTGCTAAATTCTCGATGGTGAAAAAAAGCTGGTAAATTGTTTTTCACAGTTTTCAGCAAAGGAATCTTGATTTTTGACTCAGATGTTGATTTTGTCTCCAAGTGTCATTTCCTGTGTTTTATCTGGTAATTTGGCATGATGAGGTACAAAAGATAGTCTTATTGGGTTTAAATATGTGAATACTTTTGCTGTAAACATAAAAGGAATTTCCTTTAATGTGAATTAACACATGCCTCTTTATCTATTACAAAAACTCCATTGGTATTCAGTTATTACCTTTCATAGGAATGAAATCCCCTTTGAGACTTTTATTCTCAAAATACACTTGCAGAGTGGTGTACACTTTTGAAAGTTTTTCCCATACACTAACTTTTTTTTTTCTTTTTGAGATGTGGGTCAAGTGATCCTCTTCCCTCAGCCTCCTGAGTAGTTGGGCCTGCAGGCATCTGTACCATGCCCCTTTCTGTATGCTAACTCTTAGTAATGCAAGGAGGTGTGGCCTCATACAGATGGAAACTGAGACTCCAGGGGTTACCAACTGCCCAAAATTCACAGCGAGCACGTGACTGAAGCAGGGGCCCCCTGGATCATAACTGAGGAATGATCCATGAAACTGGACAAGAAACAGGCAGCCCAGGACTGGAGGCGTAGCTCAAGTGGTAGAGTGCCTGCCTAGCCAGCGTGCGGCCCTGAGTTCAAACCCCACTACCGCAAAATAAACAAAAAAACCCATGTAGCCCTTCCTAGGCCTATATGGACACTGGCTGCTGCTGTAGCCTTTGGGTTACAGCCGAGTTTGGGGTGCTCAGGTTGTGCAGTTGCATGGGCATCAGTGTGGTTTGAAGCTTCACAGGTGTTTTGCATAAGCAGTGGTGAGAGTGACAGTTTACAGAACATTAATTATAGCCTGAGCCCATCTACCACCTGCAGGGGTTGTTAAGCTGAGCCTGGCCATGAAGCTGGCTCTGTGTGAGTCTGCACAGCTGGCAAGGATATGTGCCAGTGGCATGGCTAGAGAAAGCTCTGGAACACTTAGGGGAGGGCTCTGTCAGGTTTTGGTCAGTTTGAGATATTGGCCAATGTGCTTTTTAGGAGGTCATAATCCTGCTATATCTTAGAAGCCTGGGTACTGAACCTTATGTTTTCTTAGTGACAGTAACATTAGATAACAGCTCAGCTTCTCTTTGGTGTTAAAATAGTTACACTTGGCAGTCAGGTCAAAGGTGTGAGTAAGGCAGATATTGTATATTTGGCAGTATGTCCTTGGGTTGAGCTGGTGGATGTGGCTTTGATAAGCCAGAGGCATACTAACTTCTTGCTCCTGATAGTCAAGGTAGCATCTTACTGCTAGCCCAGCTTCTTTCCTTCTTGCATCACTTTTGTAATGTGGAATACATGCAACACTTTTGTAATGTGGAATACATGCAACAGATTAGGAATAACTGAAATCATGGTGTATTTTAAGTAAAGCCTTCACTTTGGAGTTCAGGGCCTGAGGGCTCTCTGTGGAGAGGCCTCTGTTATGACTGGTCTGCCTAAGTTATAAGACATGGGATAAATCCTGTCCCAAAGTAATGGATTGCAAGTCTTGGGTGTAGGCGAGAGTTCAAACCTGGAGGGTTCGGTTAAGGTTTGAAGCCTCCTCCTCAAGTAGCTAGGGAGGTTGGGCAGATCCATCTTGATGGAGGCCTGACCAGGGCAGGGAGCTCTGCTGTAGCTCAGAACAGGGATGCTGTCCCTCTCCACACCTGTACACACACATGCTCTTTTCTGACCTGTGAGGAGGTAGTGGGGAAGCTAGACCTTTATGTGCTCTGGTAGGATGGACTGGGGGTGAGGGCATGGGGCCTCTTCCTGTTGCTTCATCTTGAGAATCTCCCTCTGGCTCTGTGACTCCCTGCTTGGTTATATGCAGGATCAACAGGACCTTTTTGAAAGGACTGCCTTCAGGGCGCTCAAGAGGGCCAAATAAGGTAAATGTCTTCTGGCATTTGCTGCACCGCTGTCCCTGAATTAAATACCTAGGAGCTGTTTCAGGACAGCAAAAGTGAATGAAGATTTGGAATTATAATAACTCACATCACTAAAGGAAGTCAGAGGGTATTTCTTTGGTTGTTACCTTGGTGAAATCTGCAGCAGAGAGCTACATTGCCATGCAGATGTGATGCAGACTTTCCTATTTAATTATCAAGTACATATTGCTTCAAGGTACCAAGAGGCCTTCTGCTGTGTGTGCCCTGCTCTGCAGTCATAGTTTGAAGATTTCCTAGACAGAAGCCCAGCAAGTGGTCCTTGTGTCCACACTGGGGCTCCTTGGTATAGGTTTGAAGTTACCTTCCCTCAGAATGAAGGCTCAGAGGCCCCGGCTGCCAGCCCTCTCTGGTCCAGCCCCACACTTGTTTCAGTTCAAGACCTGTCTTTTCCCAGGACCCAGTGTCCTGTGGCCCACAGTCAACTCTTCCCTTTCCCAGGTCTCTGCACAGCCTGTCTATCTCCAGCCCATCTTCAGCACCTGGCGCTGTGGGGGTTGTCCCAGCACCTGCCCCAGTCAACTTGCCCAGGTGCAGCTTTTCATGTACTGGGTATTTCCAAACCCTCAGGGCTCAAAGGCAGCAGAGAACTTGGGTGGAGGCGCCCTAACCCTGAAGAAACATGGCTGGAGGCAGGACTGCTGCCCTGCCTGTTCATGACAAGGACAGTCCTGCTTGGTTTTGGCGGCTTAGGTCTTAAGCATAATTTTGCTAGCAGCTAATTATTCTGAGGGGTTTTATGGAAGATCAGACCACTCAGTGAGGGAACCCCTGGCAATGCTCCCCTCACCTCCCTGACCTCTGGTAAAAGATGATCCATTTCAAAGCACCCAGCTGTGGCTTTGAGATAATCAGCTCTTAGTTCGTAACTTTAATCCTCTATGGAAGGTCAAGTGATCAGTAGCACACTTGGTCCCCAACAGTGTTGTGACACGAATGACTGAGACCAAGAGATGGATGCAGGCTTTCATGGAGCCAGGGGCCCACTGGCCCTTAGGTTGGCCCCCATCTTACCTTGCCCCCTATTCCAATAATGCCCATTGCAGGACTCAGTCCTATGTGCTCAGATCCTGAATCTAGGTGCACAGCATCAAAAATACTAGTTTTAGAAGAAAATATGATGTATTTAATCAGGCCAAAAGGCACTGTCATTCTCCCATTTTAGCCACTGTGTATGGCCCCCTGGTACTTCCGTCCTTCCATTCAGGAGAAGGCCTGAGAGGGTCTTTGGTGGTTGGGCATACGGGGCCGGGGCTGAAGGTAACGGAGACACACACATTGTGTATTTGTTGAAGTTGCGGTCTTGCTGCAGAGGCAGGAGTCAGAGGCAGTGGAGAACAAGCACCTCGTAAGTGTGCAGCCAGGGAATAACCCAGACCTCAGAGTAGCAGCTCAGAATCTGAAACAAAGAATGGCTCACCTGAAAATCCTGACTGCTACAGAGGTTGCTACCCACTTAGGGCACCTTTCCTTATCACCCCAGAACTAGCCTGGGTGGTCAGGAGTTCTGTGTAAGAGTGTGTATGTGTGTTCCTCACTGGGGTCTTCCCTTGCCCCCAGTTTTTATTTTGAAAAATCCCAGCTATGCAGGAAGCATAAATACAAGGATTGAAGTCCAGTCCAGCCTGGCATACATACATGTATGACCCTATCTCAGTAATCATATCAAAAAGACTGGGGGCGTAGCTCAAGTAGTAGAGCACCTACCTAGCAAGTGTGAGGCCTTGAGTTCAAACCCCAGTACCACTAATACTGTGTGTGTGTGTACTTTTCATTTATATAATTTGTTAAAATTTGCCATATTTCTTTCTCTCTCTTGCTATCTCTGCAGTTATATATACACACATATATATGTATATATATATACATATACATATATATTAAGATACATGTCATACCATACATGATACATTTATCATACCATATATGACATATATCATGTCATATATCATGTCATGGCATAGATGATATATGTGATTACATATAGATACCGATATCTATATATACCTCATCTGTATAATTTCTGAATTATTCAAAGCTTTTCTTCTCTAATCTTACACCCCAAGTCCAGAGCCTTTCTCTTTTGAGATGTGCCTCTCAGGGAGTGAAGAGCAGGTTGTGCCGGTCACGCAGATCCTGTGAGGGGTAGGAAGATGCTGCCTTTCACGCCGTGTCCCTGAGAAGGTCTCTACTCATGTTCTCGTATCTGTGTGCTGTGTGGGAATACTGGTGGCCTGACCTCAGGAATGACGTTTGGAAGCACCCCACCAGTCCTGGGGGGAGAATGGTGGGGGGTGGTGAGGAAGTGCCTTACCCGCTTTAAGGTGGGGTTGGTTTGGAAGTTACAGCTCTCCAGAGGAGGGTGCATGTTTTTCCTGCATATGGTTCTGCCAATTTCCACCTCCAACATGTATTTTAGGCCTTTCACGACCTGAAGAGAACAAAGGGTCAGGGTCCTGGATTACTCAGCACAGGATGGAAAGGTGGCAGCTCCCTGCTGATGAGGGGTGGGGCAGGTGGGAGAGGTGGAGCTGCGGGGTAGGGAGGAAAATTCAGGACTTGCCAGAAGAGCTGCTGGAAAGGAAGTGTGCCTGGACTCCTGTCTTCTCTCTCCCTTCCCTCTGCCTACTCGAAGGGCTGGCTATGATAAGGGCTTTATGTCTCAGAAAGGATGGCTCCTTTCTGCCCTGTATTCTGCATTCATTAGGGACCTCACACTGGGGTTGTCCTGGCCCCCCAGACAAAGGCAGTATCTGTCATCGGAACCCACCCTGCAGCCCCCATGAGCCTGCAGTGCTGCAAGCCTTCCCTGCTCCTGTTTTGAGTTTCAAAAAGCCCTTCTCCACTGGGATATGGCAGCAACCTAGTTTTTTCTCCTCATTTGTGGTCTCTGAGTAGTTGGGGTCTCTGGGTAGTCTCAGTCCCACCAAATACTACCTGAATGAAGTCCCCAATGAAGATCCTCTGAGGTACAAAGGATCAGTGTTCCATCCCCCTCATGGAGGACCTTGGGCACTCAGGTCCATATCATTGCACTAGGCTCCCTAGACAAGGCAGTGCCTCGCCCAGGCAAGATCCCCAGCCCTGAAGAAGACTGTAATGATCATCCCTAGCCCTGTGACCCAGAGTAACTACAAATGCTATGAAGCCATCAGCCTTAGAGCAGGCTACTACCACCTTCTTCCTCTTCCTCCAAGCACCCCACCCCCACACACACACGGATGTCATCTAAAGCCAGCTTCCCATAACAGCAAATGGTGTCCCTGGATTTAGCAAATGACAGAGATCACCTGCCAGCCACCTGCTGGTGCTGTCTCCTCACTATTCTGCATCCTCTCATCCACATTGACGTGTTCTTGGGACACTGCAAGGATGGCTGTGCCCTGTCAGGTCCCCTCTGGGAAGGAGAGTGCTCAATAGTTGCTGTAGGTCACTAAGAAGAGTGATGGCCTTGCAGGGTGTGACATTCAAACAGGCTGGAGGCAGAGTGGGTTTGTCAGTCAGGGAAGGAAGTGGCTTGGGCTTAGCTCAGGGATGTGAATGAACACATCTGGTGGACAAAGGCAAGAAGGCCCTTGGGGCTACAGATGAAAGGTGAGGCTGGGACAGGGATTCCAGGACCCTGATGAGGGCAGCTCTGACTTGCAGTACAGTGGTCCATGCCGCAGGGCCATCAGCTTCAGCTCGCTCAGCTCTAGGAGCCTCATTATGGCCTGTGCCTCCTTACTCCCACTGAGTAAGCTCTGGCCCAGAGGCTTGGTAGTTTGAGTAAATTGTGCTTAGCTCTGGGTGACACTGGTTTTAGTGCTGTCCTCAGACTCCCATGCTTGTGTATGCTCTAGGTGGTTGGGGTGCTGTAGCTTGGCTCCCCAGAGCTGTCCCTGAAATGCTGGTGACCAGACCCCCACTCCGCACCTGCACCATGGCTTTGCTGATATGGAATTCCTTGAACAAGAAGATGTCATTTGTGCAGTTGTTAAACTTCTCCACACTGTGCCTGGCTGCTTTGAGGACTTCTGGGTTGTTCGTCTTTATTGTTTGGGGAAATCCTGGCTTTGCACCTGAGCTTTTAAGGTCCTGGGAACAAAAATCTGAAAGCAACAAAGAACCAGACAAGAACATTGGCACTAGTGAGATACTTGGTCCAGGGGTCAGGCCTTATGCTCAGTGATGCCCAGTGCTCCTCTCTGTCCATGTGACCCCTGGCCCCTTCTTCACTCTCACTGCATACACATCACCTGTTCACTTCCATCATGCATGTGCTGTGCATCCCCTCATATGCTCCATATTTGAAGTTGAGGACAGGTGCTGTGGGTGGTACAATGGTAGAGTCCCTGTCCTCCAGCCCCTGCCCACATAGCCCTTTTCAGAACCCAGGGTTATTTTCAGCATGTGACCTCCAGGCAGCAGGACCTCAGGGTAGGATGTGACCTTAAGGTATAAGGAGAAGTCAGCCTGGCCCCTGAGGCCACCGTGCACTGTCTACCCTCTACCTGCTCTGCTTGTCCCATCCAAGGATGCCACATTTCAGTGTTGTTTGACCCAGTCCTGCCTCCCACTGGTAAGGAGGCCTCCCCACCAGCGACCCTCCTGTACTCTTGCACCCTCCTTAGCACCACTCTCAGGCTCTGGCTCAGTCCCACTCAAGGGCTCCCATTCCCAGCAGCCTGCAGCACCTTCCTGTGCCACTTCTGTGGTTGCCTGGGTCCAAGCTGTTATACTCTTGTGAGTGAATGTTATCTCATGAACTTTGGCTCTGGAGCCTGGAGTGGAGGTGAGTGAGGCCAGCCAGGCAGGCTGGATTTCTTCCACCTTTTCCTGCTCTTCCTATGTGAAAGATGGGGGGAGCAGTATGAGGGGGCTTCTGCCCCAGCCAGGCTCCTGCTTATGCCAGACAGAACTCAGTACCTGCCTCCTTCGTTACCCATGCTTTGCTGCTACCAGAGAAGTGAACTGAGAGACTCCAGGGTTCCCTGATGGCTCTACTTAAGTCTGGCTCACTAGAGAACCTGAGCCATTTGTTCCTTTCAACTTAGCTCACCCATGGTACTCATGACACCTGCCAAGCCCCTTCCTGAGCGCTCCTCCTCCTGCCAGCGCTGGGCATGGATGCAGAAGTGTAATGTTTTCCAGATAAACAAGATCAACATCAGAGCAGCAAGAGAAAGGTGGGGAAGTGGGAGTGCAGGGGCCTGAGTGTGGGGAGCCAAGACTGGGAAGCCACTGGTCAATATAGCCCATCTGTGGGGTCTCCTCTCTGTGGCACAAGGGGTGGGTGGTATATTAGAGAAGACATGGGTGGTTGGAATTCTGTGACTTTGGGGTATCCCATGGGCTCTGAGGGAGTTCAACATTGCCTGACCAAGCAGAGCCCCACCTGGCAAATGGGCCTCCCCATTTGGCTCCAAGGTCAGGAACACAGCACCCCGATAAGCCTACAGTTACTGTGCCAGGTTTGCTAGGCTTTGGCTCCCAAAGAACCTGACCTCCCCTTAGAACTTTGTGACTGGGTGCTGGTTTGTGGGTTGTTCACAGCTGTGTCCTGCTCAAGTATCCTCAAGGGCTCTCTATCACAGTACACACTCCAGCTCCTTGTGACATCCTCACAGAGGCCTTGTGGAAGGCCCCTGAGGTCCAGAAAAACACTATCTGCACCTGTTCTTGAGTGTTAGCTGCTGGACTTGGTTGGCCTGGGTGAGACCCTGGAAGCTTCATCCCTTGGCTCCTGGAACAAGTAGTGACAGTGGAGGTCTCCTGGGCTCTGTCAAAGTTGATGTCAACCTATGAAGGGATTGGCAGGATCTGAATGACAGAGATTGCTTTCAGAGAACCTGTGCTTACCAACCACTCAAAATTCAGTGTGCTTTTAGTAATGACAAAGAACTGTTGTTTTTTAGCTGGCTTGATATTTGTTAATCACTGTAGTTCAAATAGCAGAGAGGCAGACGGACACTTTTTTGGGGGAAGATAGCATTTTCAGTGTATCTGTGCCATCAGAGATTAGTGTTTTTTTTTTTTCCTCAAGGTAAATTCATGTGGCTGTTTTGTTCTTTGCAAAAACATTTGTGGCTTTTTTTGGATATAAACTTACCTATTTTGGCAGGAAATTTGAAATTTTGAGAAGAGTGTAGCAAAAAATGACGATCTTTCTTGATATCTGGAAGGTAACTTTTATGAACTGTTTTTCAAATAAAATACATGAGGTGGAATGCATGGGCAATGCACTAGAGAGGGAGGAAACTTCCAGAACACACTGAGAGGGAGGTGGGGCAGGGGAGGGCAACTGAGGGAGAATCTGGCACCACCCACCCAGACAGTTTTCCCTAAGGGGCGAGGGATTAGAGAGAAGATTAGTGCCAGGTCCTGATGGGCACCATGTGCCCCCCCAGGTGCTGCCACAGGGCAGTCAGCACTATGAAGAGCAGAGAGTTGAGCATCCAGGGTGCAGATGCAACATGCTGGAGAGAGGATGCGAGAGTCTATGCCCATAGTATTAGGATATCAGCCTCTGACATCTGGTGTAGGCTTCTTCCTGGGCAGTACATGAGGCCAGGCTCCCAGAGGGAGCTTCAGGGCTGGGAATCCATGGCTCACAGAGTCTAGGGTGGGGCGGAGGGCGGTCCTTCTGCTCCCAGGTGGTGAGGATCAGAATGAGAGGGAAGCTTAAAGATATAAATTTTCTGTATATATCACAAAGGACTCGGATACCAATGTTCCGGTTCCTATTTCTGTTCCCATTCCCTCCCCCCCACCCCTGCCTTCAGAATCCTAACACTGACATTGGATTTGGTCTTCATATGTCAGGCTCTTCAGTCCTGTGTGGGTGTCAGCTCCCTACACTAGCCTGAACATACTTTATGTACATATATTGACTCTTCACAAAGACATCCAAGAGTTTAAATGAAAGCAGAAGTCAAACAAGTGACCCTGAACTTGGGGGCCATTGTGGGGATGCAGTTGGCTGCAGCAATGGTTCACTGTTTCCAGATGACAGAGACCAGAATTGCTCTGGAATTACCACCCACAGAGTGGCCAGGATCCTAAAGGCCTTCCAAAGTAGCTGCTAAAACAACCCAGTAGTCATCCCTTACACTGGTCACATGTCCCTGTAGGTGGGCAATAGAATTTGATACATGCCACCTTCCAAGTACTGAAGCTTAGTGGGAGATGTGCCCTTTGGACAGCTCCCCTTTTCCCTGCCTGCAGTCAGGGAGGGGAGGTGTTCAGGGGATGCTTGCCTTGCCTACCACCTTCCTCTTTCAGGAGTGTTCTAGGTGTGGTTCAAGAGTTGGAAGAACCCCACTTTGTGAACCATCTCTGAGAAGGGAACTCAGGTGTCCCAGGGCCAAATGCAGATGGTCCCTGCTGGTGCCCGTGCCATGTGTTGACTTGGGGACTCTTTTCTTAGGGCTGGTGTTAGGACCCTTGGGGAGGGCCCTCATCTCTTAGAGCTTCAGTCTAGGGGCTGGCCTGAGGACTGGGGCCTGGAAAGTGAATGTCCAGCTCTGCCACCTGGGGGTGAGTCACCAGCACTCTGCGCTCTCTGCTTCTTTCACCCCATGCCATCAAACTTCCTTGAGTCTGAGTTCTTGCTGGAAAGTCCATAAATTCAATGGGCCACACCTGGCTGTTCTCAGTTCCTGAGTGATGAGGAATGAGGTTGAATGTGCCCCCCGACCCCGGCACACTTGGGATGCTGGTCTCTCCTAGGATTAGCCTGGCTTTATCCTACCGGGATACACTCAGTGTTGGAATCCCTGCTCACTTTCTGTGAAGCTGGAGGCAAGCTACTTAACCTCTGAGCCTCCATGTTTCAGCTGTAAATGAGGATGATGATGGCACTGACCTCTCAGTGAGGTCAGAATACACATGAAACAATTATATAATTATTATCCAGTGTATCAAATGGAATGTAGCCACAGCAGGGGACCTGTAAGTGCAAACAGATGTGCCCTATTGGAAGCAAGAACTCTCAGTACACAGGGAGACAGTATTCCCCTCAAGGTCCAACCCAGGCAGCAGTAGCTCCCAGGGCTCCTGTGGGAGGCCCTCTCACCCCCAGGATGTCTCTGTGGCCTGGCATAGTCCTCTAGCTCTAGCTGTAGTGGAGAGCATGTGGCTCTTGACCATGGTTTCCCTGTCCAAGCTTAACCGGAGGGGGTGGGGGGTGGGGCAGAGTGACATGACTGCCAGGGTGCTTCCTGGAAGAGGGGACAGGTTGAGAAAGAAGGGCTTTCCATTTTCAACCAACGGTGAGAGGACCGAGGAAACCAATGTGGCAACTTCCTACGTTTTGAAGGGCTCAGTGTGCCTGGGGCCCAGTGTGTGAGTCACTGTGGATTAGCTCATGGCATACAGAAACTAGATACCCAGAGAATGCACCCCTGGTGTCCCTGTGCCCCTTCCCTGAAACCTTCAGAAGGTTCTGGAATCTGTTCTGAGGAAGCAAGAGAGAGGCTGTAGAGGTCATGGCATGGGTGGGGCAGATTTCTGGCTCTGTTTGACCCCAAAGGGGCATCCAGGCACTCTCACTATACAGACAAGGACCTGAGGCCCTTGCTGGAAGCACCAGGAAAGATTGAAACTTGAGGGGTTGCGGGGGGGGGGGTGGTCACCAGGACAACAGAGGAAGGGCCTGACCCCACAGCTTCAGGAGCAAGGGATGATGCTGCTAAGGGCACCATGACCCACCACACACCTTGTGGTGCCACCCCTGAAGCAATCAACTACAGCTCCCCAGGATAGAGTGGCAAGTGCAAGGGTCTATATCTAGTAGGCAGGTGCCCCCAGGTGCCCTGTGTGTGAGGTGGTCTCTGGGTGCTCATCCTGGCCCAATGGCAGAGAATAGAGAATAGGTTTGAGGTGGCAGTTCCAGGTCAGCTCAGGGGGCTGTAGCAGGGAGAAGCCCACCTCTTGCAGCTGTAATGCAGCCCTGGCAGTCTGACATGGGGGGAGGCCTGGGGAAGGGCTCCGTCCAGCTTCACACACCAGCCTAAAGGACAATAGCATGGTCGATAACAAGGCACTAACAGCAGTCTAGCATCTTGGGTCTCAAGGATTCCCCCAGGAAATCCTGTTACAACCCTGACCCTACCCTGTTGGATGAGGTCACCAAGGCAAGCAGAACTTATGCAAATCATGAACAGAGAGTATAAATAATTAAAAGCTGGGACAGGTGAGACATCAGGCTCAGTGTTCCCTCAAGGAGATCTATCACTGAGGCTGAGAAGGGCTTGTTCTCTGGTGTTAATATCCAGCTTCTGCCCCAGGATCTCCCCCTGTCCCCATGGCATCAAGAGGGTGGGGAACAGGAAGCCAGTGTGTATCAGGAAAGGGCCAGGAGGAGAGGCCAAGAGGCAGGGGTCTGGCCTCACCCTGTGAGCTAAGAAGGCAGGGAGTCAGCAGGAGGCAGGGTTTGAGGCTCTGAGTTCAGCCCCACTGCTGTCTCTAGCCTCCTGCTTAGCAATGTGCTAACCATCTGTTGGCTGAGTACCTCCCTACCCAGCTGCTGTGGCTTGTCCCCTTGAGCACGGAAGCTGTCCTCCTCTCACTCCTGCTCTGCATGGTCCCCAAGTTACAGCATCCATGCTATGTCAGGTCTAGAAGCCTGGGACTGTGCCCCTACCTCAAAGTCCCCCTGCCTGGTCACCTATGGCCACGCTCCAGCCCCCTCCGAGAGGAAGGAGGGCAAAGCCAGTTGCTGCCTTGGGGGCTGTCTCTGTCTACTGGGTGGTGGGCTGTGGCCAGCTTCGTTGTTGGTTAAATGAAGCAGGGCCCTCTAAGTCTCCATCTATCTAGGGGCTGATTCTGTGTGCTGGGGAGGATATTGGCCCAACTCCAACTCCAGGAGCAGGCAGTCCTTGCTGTGTGACTTGGGCAAGTCACCTAACCTGGCTATGCCTCAGTTTCCCAGTGTAGGCAGTGTCCTCCTGGCTCCTCCCCCAGTGGCTATCACCATGCCAATTGCAGGAAGGAGGAGAGTATCTGATGTTATCCTTAGGGTACCTGGAGGTAACTCACAGGACAGCACCCACAGGCAGGCAGGAAGGACAAAATGAGTCCGGTCATAGATAGAAGTGGCTTGACCACAGTGCATCTCCTATTCTGTGCCCCTCAGCTCTCAGAAGCAGCAGGGAACAGAAGAACTTCCCCTATCCCGGCAGGGGCAGCCTATACAGCTTCATCCTGAAGTCTGCTCCCCCTGCCAACCCCAGCAGCTGCTGCCAGGACCCAGAGCCCTGCACAGTGGGGCTCCAAGCCAGGAGAGTGCCCTGGGGAAGACCTTAGCCAGGGAGGAAGCCCAGGGCATCCTGTACTACTGCCATTGGCAGTCTCAGGAACAGCATGCAGGTGAATGGCTGGGAAACCCTCCTCTTACCTGGGGCAGGGTCCCCGCAGGTTCTTGATGCAAGGCAGCAGAAGGTGAAAAGTGCCCAGGCCAGCCACATGGTTGCCTTGGAGGAAGGTAGTGCAGGACAGTGGGCTGAGTACTGACTGGGCTGGGGAGGTGGAGGGGGCTGCCTTTTTGAGGCTGGGGAGGGGCGTGGTTTCTTGCTGAATCATTTTGACCAGAAGCCCTTCATCTCCAGATCTATTGGCCACAAAGGCAACCGCTTCCTTTATAAAAGTTTCCAAGCAGCGATCACTTGCTGGGGGAGGAGGAAGAGAACAGACCTGTGAACAGCCTGGTGCAATGTTCTACCCCAGGACCACACGTGGGAGAGATGCTGCCGTAAAACAATGTGGAGACTTTCATAAGCAGAGTCACTTGACTTCCCTTCCTCAAATTATACACCCCTCTCTCACCTTATCAGGGAGTTCTGAGTGGCCCTTGGCAGGAGACTCTGGTCTCCTGATGTGAGTGGCCATTTTTTCTTGAGCAGGAAAACAGGATCCAGACTGCAGAATCAGAGCATGAACATCGTCAGACATGCATGCACCCTCTGAATGATTTTTGCACCCGGAAATCAGGAAGATTTCCAGTGCAGAGTTTGCCAACTGCACTGTTTTCATGTTCCATTTTTGGGTTCAAAGCTGGTAAAGGAGAGGAAAGAAGAGTGTGTGTCTCAGAGGTTCTGGTGCCCTGGCAATCCTCCCTTTACATGCCCAGCCCAAGGGTTAACAGTGAGCCTCAGAAACTGGGAGGCCTGAGTGGAATTCTGGCTCTGCTTCTTAACACCTATTGATGTTAGACTAGGAACAACATATCTGTGCCTCAGTTTCCTTCTGGGAAGGATGTGGTCAGGATTTAGAAGCTTCCTCAATATGAATACTCAGGGCTGGAATAGCTTCAGAGAATTCTATGTGCCCCTGAGAACGGGGCTGTGCAGGTAGTAGGAAGATGTGACCATGCCATTGTCACCTAGGCTGACTGCATACACACACTCTGAAACAGATCCCAGGGAATCTGTACCAGATGGGTCTGGCTGTGTCATACTGAGTTTTAGGCAGGGAGATTTGAGTTTGTGGGACTGGGATGAGCCACATAATCTCAGGGGCCCTGAGGGCCCTGGTTGCTCTGAAATTTGTTGTGAGGACTGCTATCTAGGTATTTGTCACCAAGCATGGGGGCAGTGCTCAGTATATGGTGGCTGCCATGACTGCCCCCATGGCCCTGCTTGCCCTGACACACTTGGCCCTGGGATCCTCATCTTTTGGCTGTCACATGAAATTTCCAGGATATATTGGGTTTAGTACCATCCTCAGTTTCAAGCATCCACTGGGGAGTCTTGGAATATATACTTCATGGATAGGAGAGAAATAACTGTATAACATTGATAGTCGATGGAGTGATCTGGTAATAGAAATATGCAAAATATCTCTACTGGATACTTCAACCACTTATAGGAAGCAGTTGTCAAGTGACTGTACAAATGATACTTTTGATCATTTTTGGAAATCTAACAAATCTTATGAGTTTGGCTGGTAGATCCTAATGTTGCTGGACAAAGTGGTGAAATAAAAGGATTTGAATTCTTAGCTCAACACTACATAAATGATCCAAAAGCTTCTATGTAGGACTCGAAGGAGACCCTTATCTCCTCTAGCTGTAAAGCTGAGATTGCTGAAAATCAAATACAGAATCTCATCCTTCAATTGCCTGTATGTAAGTTGACCTTCCAGCCTGGCTGAGATCTACTGTTAAAAGAGGGCACTGACTGGGAAGAATGGGATCCTGTAAGTTGGGATGTCCTCATTCTAATTCCAACTTGCAGGATTCCAAGGAAGGTGGGGATATTGACCTCCTATGTTCTGATGGGTGTTCTTTACCAGAGGAAGAGGTGTCCTCACCTTCAGTTGAAGAGTTATCCCTATCTCTGCCTAAGGGGATTCACCAAGGAAGCTGCAATTGTCTCCCCTGAGGCAGTTGCCATGCAAGAAAATGCAAATCCTCTTTAGGGCTCCCTACCATCTCCTTTTGCTTCTAGGCCTATAGTAAAACTCAAGGTAAGGTACAAAGTATGACACACAAGGAGTTGCATTTAACACTGAAAGAAGTGCTTCAGTTTTCCTCTTCTTTTTAAAGGACTTGCACTTGCTAGGTAGGTGCTCTACCACTTGAGCCACACTCAGTCTTTTTTTATTGTAGTTATTTTTTAGATAAGGTCTTGAGTTTTTGTTCAGGGCCAGCCTAAGCCTGCAATTCTCCTACATCTGCCTTCCTTATAGTTGGATTGTAGGTATGTATCACTACACCCAGATTGTTTTTTGAAATAGGGTCTTGATAACTTTTTTGCCCAGTCTTTCCTCAAACAATGATCCTCTTATCTCTTCCTCCTGAGTAGTTGGGATTAGAGATGTATGCCATCACACCTGGCTCAAGTACTTGAGTTTCCTAATTTATACAGAGAGAGGTCTGTGGAACATGTGTGGGAATGGATATTAAAAGGTTTGGGAAAATGGTGGGATAAAGTAGGATCAGGCTGAATTTATGACATGTGCTCAATAAGCAGAGATTCTGCATTTGAGTTGCATCTCAGGGAGTTAGAAAGAATTTTGTAAATTTGACTGAATTGTGGACCAAAAGATGGCCCATAGTAAGCAAATTGGAAATGCTGCACCTGCCTTGGGTTAATGTAGGGGAAGGGATTCAGAGTTGCAGGAAGATTAAAGTATTAAGAGCGTATTTGTCATTTGATATCTACCTACCCACACTGGGAGGGGCTAGAAGATAGAACTTTCACCTACTACTTCGAGAAATAAATTTGTGAGGGGAGCCCTAGCACTCTTGGAGGCTCTGTAATTGCTCTTCTCTGTAGGTCAGACTTTGCTGTAGGAATGACAGCCTAGTGGACACATAGCATGCCACAGTCCCGCACCTGCAATACTCTCCTACTCCTACAGCCTCATGGGGAATTTCCTACCATCATGTGAGAGGAAGAGAAAATCTGTGCCTGGTGTACAGATGGTTCTGTATGACATGCAGGCACCACTCCAAATGAACAGTTGCAACATTGTATCTTCTTTCTGGGACATCCTCTTTCTGGGATAGCCCCTTTCTGGGAAAGTGGTGAAGGGACATCACCTCTGTAGACACAACTTTGGGCAGTGTACTTGGCATCAAGAGAGAAATGGCCAGATAAGCAATTATATACCAATTCATGGAGTATGGCCAATGGTTTAACTGGTACATCAAAGAATGGAAGGAATATGAATAGAAAATTGGTGACAAGGAAATTTGAGGAGGAGATGTTGTGTAGACCTCTCCAAATGGGCCAAGATGTAAAGACATTTGTGTCCCATATGAATTCGTATCACAGGATGACCTCAGAAGAAAGAAGAGTGGATGGGAGGACCTGCTTTGTGGATATCAGCCAGACTCCTCCTCCTGCCACCCCTGTAATCACCCCATGGTCTTCTGAACAAAATGGCTATGGTGGCAGGGATAGAGGTTATGTATGGGGTAAGCAACATGGGGTTCCCCTCACCAAGGTCTTTTGGAGTCTCTGGACACTGGCTCTGAACTGACACTAATTCCAGGGATTCAAAATTGCATTATGGTCCACCAATCAGAGCAGAGGATTATGAAGGCCAGGTGATCAGTGTAGTTGTAGCTCAAGTCCATCTCACTGTGGGACTAGTGGGCTCCTGAACCCATTCAGTGATTGCTTCTCTAGCTCTGGAATGCATAACTGGTATATGTGCATTTAGTACCTGGCAGAATCCCACATCAGCCCCTGTAGAGTGGGGCTATTTTGGGGGGGTAGGTCAAATGGAAGCCACCAGAACCTGTCTTTATCTAGAAAGATAATAAGCCCAAAGCAACCCTGCACACTTGGAGGGACTGCAGAGTTAGTGCCACTATCAAGGGCTCAAAGGATGCAGACCTGGAGATTCCCACTATGTCCCATGCACCTCTCATATCGGGACGTGCAGCAGAAAGCTAGATTTTAGAGAATGACAGTGGATTACATGGTTGACCAGGTGGTAACTCCAATTGCAGCTGCTGTATCAGATGTGGTTTTGTTGCTTGAGCAAATCAATCAAACCTCTGGTATCTATAATGCAATTATTGACCTGGCAAATGCTTTTTTTTTTTTCTTGATTCTTGTTAATAAAGACCACCAGAAGCAGTTTGCTAAACTAGGAATACACCTTCAGGGTCCTCCCCCAGGGCATATCAGTAATTCGGTCCTGTATCCTTACTTAGTTTGCAGGGTTACCTTTCCCTTCCATAAGACCTCACACTGCTCCGTTACATTGATGACATTTTGCTAATTGGCCCTAGTTGGCAAGAAGTAGCAACTACTGTAGACTTTCTAGTGGGACATTTATATGCCACAGGGTGGGAAATAAATCCAATAAAAATTCAGATGTTTACTACCTCAGTGACATTTCTAGGGGTTCAGTGGTGAGGGGTAGGTTGAGATAATATCTGTTGCAGGTGAAGATAAGTTATAACACTCAGCCCCTCCTACAACCGAGACAGAGGCACGATGTCACGTGGACCTCTTTGGATTTTGGAGGCAGCATAGTCTCCATGTGAGTGTGTTACTCTGGCTTATTTCCTGGGGAGACAAAACTGCTGACTTTGAGTGGGACCTGGGACAGGAGAAGGCTCATCCCCAGGTCCAGGCTGCTCTGAGCTTGGACCATCTGATTCAGTAGCTCCAATGGCACTCCCTGTCACTGGCACACAGGGACTTAGGCCCTAAGAGGTGAACCACTGTGTGGCCCTTAGCAGGCTGGCGCAGAGCCCTGCCATCTTCCTCAGATGAACACTCTGACTTTTTTTGTTTTTTGGTTATTTTTAGTAAGATATAGTTCACACACGATGAAATTCACCTATTAATTTTACTATTCAATGACTTAAAAATACATACAATTGTAAAACAGCCACCATAATCATAATATAGGTCTCATCACCCAGATAGTCCACTTTGACACTTTGTGGTGAATATCCTCCCAAATATCCAGCCCCTGGCAAATATGGCTCTCACTTTCTTTTTGCTATTTTCTAATGTTTTGTGGAAATGAAATC